CTGACGTTCCAATATGCTGCTCATCTCACCTGCACAAACAAATGCATAAGCCTCAGCTCGGCTAGAATCTAGGATATATGATGAAAATATACCTTCGCTGAACAGGTTTGTCACTTCGACAAGCCCGAACACGGCGAGCTGCTCCGAGGTAACCAGGGCTTCTAAATCTATAAGACCCTCCCCCTGCGCATACTGAAGCAGCTGGTTCTTCAGGTCGACATCCCGGGGCAGCAGCTGGGGGTAGTTGATGTGGGAGTTCGGAGTTCGCCATTCTGACAGCCGAGCAGCGAGGTCGTTGCTTATCTTCTCTGTCCGCGTGTCGCGAACAAATACGAACTGCCTCTTCCATCTCGCCACTTTGTTCCGGACATTCTTGAACAATTGGCTCTTATCCCTCCCAGAGAGGTAGTACCACCTCGCTCCTCGTGAGTTCGGGCACAACCGGCACTGGAATAGCGACCTGAACACTATCGCTTTAGCTGGCACCTCCAATCTTGCACACAACAGCATAAAGCCCATGATGAACCTTATGCTGTTGGGCGTTAGCTGCGTTAGCGCCAGCTCGCACTCCGCGAGCAGATCGAATACCAGGCTGGGCAGGGGAAACCGCAGGCCGGCGTCGAAGTGGTCCACGTACACTGGTATCCAGCCCGTCGGCGACACTGTGCACGCCCTTTCGTTCTGCCTGCCCGTCCGCAGTAGTATGGTTTTGGGAATGTGGTACGCCCTCACCATCTCTTCGAGCCTTCTGTACCCACTTACGGAGGGCGTACAATCTGCTACTTCGTGATGAAGTGCAGCCTTGAACCTGAATCCAGCGGGCAGGTCCTTCGGTGCTTTTCGCATGTTGCTCAACCTGCCCAGGACAGTTCTGCTCTCCCATTCTCCCATCACAGGCCGATCTGAGACATGGCTCACTACATCCCCTGCCTCCTCCTCGCGGCCTGGTGTCCCCTCGGACGAGCTGCTCGATGATGTACTAGGCTGGTCGCCACCGTTGTCGCTGGCGCTGGAACTGGTGCTGCTCTCTGACGCCATTGTTTCCGGCATATCCTGCAACTCCGGCGGCACTATCATCGTGATAGGCTCCACTGACAAAACCCCCCCTCTTCTCCCTCTCTGCCCTGGTTACCTCGTTGCTCTGCGAGTTCTCTCAATGAAACCATTTTTACCTGAAACTGATGTGAAGATTGACTCGATATACTGATTCTTCAAGCTGGAGCGTCCTTGCTTCAGAGAATTTGAGAGAGTTTCAGCAAATACAGAAATGAAAATGGAAAAGAGAACGGTTACGAGAGAAACAAAACCAAAATAATCGTATTAAACGCCGTACGCGTGTCTCTGACGCGCCAATAGGCGTCTTACACGTGGTAGGCGTTTAACCGCCTTTTGCATAACGTGCGCCACCTCTGGCTATCACGCTCCTCAAACGCTGCGCCAGCATTTATGGCGAGGAAGGTAAAGAGATACGGAAGAGCAAACGTATCTCCTCAGAGATCTGGTCAGATTCGGTTGATTTAAAAATATCAAGGATTCAGATCGGCAAAGATCGTCACTCCTGATGTATACCCTATACTGTCACATCAGCTCGCCACTGGAGCACACTTATCAGGTCGTCACAAAGATGACATTTTGCCAGATCGGCTCAACTGTGCCAGTTCGTTCACAAGTGTAGATTTTTTAGTAAAATCCTCCAGGATTCAGCTCGTCACATGTCATGACGACAACCACATTTGTCAGGTCGTTACACGGATTGCAACTCTCACACAGGCCACAAACTTTTGCATAAATCAGTAGGTGCCCTAGGTCGCCTTATTTGACAGCACCGCTCGGGCGGGCTTATAAAGTGGTGGTCAACAAACTCAAGTCGCCTCACCTCGTGATCACGGCTAACTGAGCGTCACCTGGTCGCACTTCGGTAGCACTCAAAGCTCTGGTCGCCACATAGACGGTTTGAATCCTGTTGCGGATCACTTCAGCTCACCGCCATAACAAGTCCATGTTAACGTGGCTACGAATGTCAGCTCGCCCACACGTTTTCAGGCTCGCGAGCTCGCCTCTTTTCGTTTTACCTATCAGCTCGCCCCTCGTCGAGATCGGCCGCAAGCTGTTAAACCCGCTTGGAATAGGCCCAGCCCAACACCGGGCCTAACACCCAAGCAGAACTGGGCTATGCATAACGGGCCTAGGTTACCACCTGTTGGCCCAAGCTGAAGGGGCATCAGTACAAGCATACCCACGTGGGCCAACGACGAACTGACTGAGCTCCAACAAAGCGTGACAAGTTGAAAAAGCTCCAACAAAGCATGACGAGCTCACAAAACTCTAATGAAGAACGACGAGCTTGTAGAGCTCTAACAAAGAATGATGAGCTTCCTGCTTCCAGGTCGTCACTCTTTAGCTTCCTGGTTTCAGGTCGCCACTCATCAGTTTCCTAGTTCCAGGTCGTCACTCCTGAGCTTCCTGCTTTCAGGTCGTCACTCTTGAGCTTCCGGGTTTCAGGTCATCACCTCAGTCTCCTGGCTCTAGGTCATAACGCCTCGGCTCCGGCCGCTATGACTTCGGTCATCACTATTTACCTCGGCTCCGGCCATAGTGACCCCAAGTTACCTATTTCACTTCAACTACGGCTATAACACATGACTCTGTGTCATGCATTTTTACCTCAGCTATGGCCCAAAACACGTGCATCGAGCTCACCTGGTTTTAACACCAGCTCCCCCACGCCTGCTCGATAGGAAGCCGGCATACACATGCACAACAGACTTGGCCGCGATGGCTTCAGGCCGCCTAGATCGATCGTGCATGAGGGCGGACATGAACATAAAACATCACTCCTCATCCTCAAGGTCAAACACCGTGCTAACAAGACTCCCAACCCAGTTCGTCAACCGAACACCGAGGGGGGAGTAATGTTGGGATTAGGCCCAACGCCCTCTTAGGGCCACATGCAGCAGGCCCAACTACGCACACACAGGCCCAAGAGGAGGAGACATACCCACGTGGAC